GAATACGCTTCATAAAACGGGTTCATATTTTCGCATCAGCACAAATATATCGTTGTATCGCGCCGGATCAAAGCCACCGAAAGCCTTTCGATTTCGCCGGTTAACAGTTTTGAACGAGTTCGTTAAGTCAACAATGCGACCGCAACATACGTTTTCGCCGATGACCAGCGTTCTCGAGCGCAGAGCAGTGAAATTCTTCCTTTTCCGCCCATTACGTTGCCGACGCTTCAAAAATACATATAACATTTAATAAAGTCATTCGCTATTTTACGAAGGAAAATATTCGAACGAGCCAAAGAGCGAAGATTTGACGCATCATCGGCAGGCGCACGTACGATGCAATAACAGTTACGGCGTGAATATCAAGGTCGCCATCGAAAATACTATTGTTGAATTCAACTTCATTTTCATTCCGGTCTTTTCTTCTTCAACCAGAAGATCGTTTTCATCTATTTGATGAATTAAATGTTCTCAACATTGGAATTGTCTCAAACTTTCGAATTGAACCAGTTTGAACGTTCCAAGTTTAACCACTTCAACAATCAACGAGTTGGCGATAACCCAGCGTTTATCGGGCAGCTGAGTTCGGAACGTCATTAATAATGCCTCACGTCACGCATTCGCGCTGCGCCGAACTTCTTCGTCTCCAGACCACCAGTCGCCGCCGGCTGGCGACATGAATGCCGCCGCACGAACGCCAGACTTTCGCCGCTAGCCTCGAAAACAAAAACAATTGGCCACACAGTGACAACATATAATACAAACAATACTCAACATGTATCTTAGTATGCTGCAAAAGTTCTCGAGTCAGTTGGCCAACCGGCCATTAATTTAAACGTTAACAGCTGATGATGGAATACGTACTGGCCATTCGAAAGCCACGTTCGTCTCGCGCGAAACCGACCGTTATCGGCCTGTTCGTCACGTTGATTCCCAGTCATTGCCGATACCATCCGCGACTGAAATGGTTACATGCGTAAGCCCAGCGGTCACGCCAGCACCCGTGTTTACCTCATCATAAATAAAGCCGGTCGAAAGTTAAAGACAAAACCACCACCGTCCTCATGTCTTCAAATAAATTGTACGACTTCAGGTCGTCACCGGGCCGCAAAATTCCAGCTCAACAACCGGTTAAATCCAGAATTGCCAGTAACAGCATCATCATGAAAATACCACTCCGACATAACGTTCTTCTTCTGCAGTTCAGGCCGTCAGCGGTCAAAACATCGAGCCACGTTATGTTCACCCGCTGAAATGCCTCATCGGTCGGTTTACGCAAAGCAGAGAACTTCACCACCATCGTTCATTTGTACGGCGCGATAGCTGTTCCAAAATGTCGTGTTCCTCAAGAAGACGCGACGACCACAAACCTTCCCGATGCGTATCAACAATGCTGCCCACACCGACAACTATTCATGCCGTCAGGAACCAGACGCTCATGATGCTGGCCAATTTCCTGCCACGCCCATATGGAAATCACTTCGGTCGTTAGCCTACTGAACAAATACAAAGAGAACTACCGCAGAATATCATCACTCTTCCTTCTGAGGAACAAGGGCACGATACTTGTTCTCAAGCCAAGACAAGAGATAGCTATTGTTTAGTTTCTTTGTTATACGAGCCGCTGCATCTCGACATGAAGAACCGAGGAATGAAAAATTATTTCAAACACAAGAGGTGGCAGCGTCGACACCGTTCGTCGCAGGCCAAACTTCTGCCGGCATCATGCCGAAAGAAGGCCGTGGAGAGCTGTTGAGTATATTCAGGATAGCCCAGAAACCAACGTCGTGGTGACAGAAACCAGCCAGCCAGACAAAGCCGACGCATCTTTCACGCATATTGAGCACGATGCGTCGTCTCCACATGTTGCCGATTAACGGTTAATATCCGTGGTATTATATTACTGGACACACGATTAATATTTTATATTGTATTTATCAGTATTGACAGGATAGCCAGCTTTGTTTTTATTACCGGGGTAATATTCAGCAGGAGCGGTGAATTCAGATAGACTGAAGACAACAAAGCGATTGCGTCATTGTCGAAAACGACTTCCGGTCTGTTGTTCATTGAGCGAACATCTCAGGGTAAGGATGAATTTTACCAAGACAAAGTCATATTTATAAATGATAAAAACTGATCAGCAGTAATCGGTTAAATTATTTACACCGTATTGTAATGGTATCAGATCTTCGCCAGGCAACGGACGGTCCGGCCGTCGGGAAACTTCCATACCGCTGGGCTGCTGACAAACTTTCAAACCCACCAATGGGGCAGGAATCACAATACTATCGATCCACAAACAAGATGTGAAAATCCTGACTAATCTTAACAGTAATCCAGGAATTGTTACAACAGCCTACACCAAAGTTTCAAACCTTCACAGATATTTGGTAAATCAAGAATCAGTTTTATGAAAAAACCTGGATGAAACCAAGACTAATGAAGTGGTGTTGCCAGGATCGATCCTCGCCATACAGAAGCAGTGAGATGCCTGGAGAAGGAGCAACACAAAGCCCCAATGGCTGCTTCCGGGGATCACCTGGTCGCCAACCGGATTGGGTTCACCAGGATTAACCCCACCCAGCCGACTCAGTGGGATATCCCCGGGTTTCTGTTCCGCAGGATTAAAACAGCAGTGCGAAGTGATTCACGCTACCATAATTGATCAAAGACAATAGGTCAGTTCGTATCACCAACAGAGAGCATACCGACTACCGCGGACTAACAGGTCGCCAACTGCAGGGAGGGGAGGGCGGGCGGGCCAGACTTAAAATAGCGAGGGGACATCTTCGTCGGGTTTATCGTAGCATATCATCATGAAGATATTTGTAAAGCGTAGATTTTGATAACCTGGAACATGCAGTACTTACCTCTTTCGAGTTCTGTCGGCACACAACACTTTTTGTGTTGAAATAGATTCAATATCAAGAATGTTAAATAGTAATCTATTATATTCATTCATTATGCGTCAACATCTATATACCAGCAGCGAAAACATAAATATCTTCGTTTTTGCGTACCAATATCTTACGACCAGTACAGAACGTACTTGAAAATCTTTAATATACTGTTCATCACTTCCGAACGCTGATGTTGCGAAATGGTCGATATCAGAAACATTGCTGATTTAGTGCAGCCCTTCGACCATTGTAAATTTAGAGACGAGTTACTGGAATATTGATCGAGATCTGTTTCGAGCGGCAGGGGAAGTGGGCGAAGAGTCATGGTAACGAAAGGTGGGCGTTGTCAGGACAATCATACAGAGAAATAAACCGCAGGTGAGTAACACCGATAATATTTGTTGGCGTCAGCAATGAATTGGTATTGTTTCAACAGCCAATATTGAAGAGCGATTTGATTAAAGAACAGAACAGTGAGTTGTGCACCATTATAAAGATTGGATACGTAGTGACTTTGAGCACGATTACCAGTTACCATCACAAGACATGGCGGGGGATGAATGATGTTTGCCAGAGTTCAGATAGAGTTGAAAGGGTAGCTTCACGCCGTGGTCAGTTCGGAATAATACGTTGGCTAACATGCCGCAGTCGCGAAATTCGACGATCCGCTCTTCAAGTTGTGGCCATCAAGGAGATAAAGATGGTATCGATAGGTATTTTCTGTTCTTCCACTGACATCATCAGCCGCACGCATCTTCATTCTTCACGACTTATCAGTGAAACTTTACCTGGCCTGGGTTCCGAGAATATCATACAACATTTCAAAGCATATGAATACGGCCTTCGTTGAAGAACACTGAATCAGCGTATTGCCGCTGGGCGATGACAGTCGTTATCTGTTAGCCAGAACAAGGAGCATGAAGGTTCTTCAGTATTGAAACACCAGAAAATGAAATAACATAAATTTTCGTCCTTTTATAAGGCGAGCCAAAATTGTACCATGTTTCATTTGTTTTATGTCGAGACTAACATTGTATGTGATGTAATTGTTGTTGCTATGGAGACGAGACATTGTGTTACCTTGACATGAAAATGAGACAGTGTTGGGATGGATATGAAGTATTTTGATGAAACATTGTGTTTCCGCAGATATCAGTTATGTTGCCATGGAGACCAGTTATTGTGTTGCCATGGAGATGAGACATTCTCTTATCCCTGTCAGCTTTGGTTTTGTCCACCATTGTATGTGGGGCTTAGAACTGTGTATGAACAAATGAAGGTATTTGAGAAATATGAGATAGTTTGGCTAAGGTGCTTGTATTGAAAATGGAAGACATAGAGAACTGATGGATTCAGGATCACGCCTTAGCTGAAGCAGTTGTGTAGTCTGGCTGTATTTGTGTAGGTCTGTACTCGCGTGGCACAGCAGGCGGTCAGACAGCAGTGATGTAGTGACGTCAATATGTGGACACAGGTAGAATATGTGCCTATGACACCATCTTACAGGTTACACAAAAACAAATGTTTTCGCATAGACTTCCATAGTAAATATATTACACAATATCATTCAATCACAACTGTGACATGCTCCATCTGAATTGACATTTACTTACAATACTAGCTCAGGGAATAACTGATTTTTATTTAGTATAGTAGAACCTATAGTAGCCAATCTAGCTTATATAAAAGGACCGAAAAGAAAGGATTTTATGTTTGCTTCATTTATTTATTTCTGGTGATATTTCCAAATACTGAAGAGTGGTTTGATGCCAGACAACTCATCTTACCTTTACACAGTTACCTCCCTTGTTCTGGCTGGCAAAGATTGGTAAAGATCAACATTTTGACGATATCATCATTATCTTAGCAGCAATACTGCTTGATTCAGTACAATTTTATTTGGTGTTGGGGAAAGCAATGATAGGAAATGTTTCTTTCTTTTTCATTGAGAAACAGGGAGCAGATCTTCATGATTTCCAGTGTTTTGCTGTTCTTCAACAGAATTTTGAAATGATACATATGTAACAGAATGTTGTATGATGATTCTCCTGTTTTCAGGGAACCCCGGAAGATTGTATTAAAGAAAGGTTCCACTGGTCTCGGGTTCAACATCGTCGGTGGGGAGGATGGAGAAGGCATCTTCGTGTCGTTCATACTGGCTGGTGGTCCGGCTGATCTCAGTGGAGAACTTCGAAGAGGAGACCAGATACTGTCTGTGGGTGGAAAAGATGTAAGTACTAGATACTACTGGTAGTACAACATCCTTTATCTCTATGATGGGGGTAGCCTAGCAGGTAAGGTGTTGGATCATCTTGTGAAAGACCTGGGTTCTTTTTCCTTAATGGTTAAATTGTGTAAAGACATTTCTGGTGTCCCCACTTAGATGCTACAAAATATCTCCTTTGAATTTCTGGCATGGTAGCCTAGCGGTAACAGTATTGGCTCATTCCTCAGACTGTTACAATGTGTAAAGCAACTTAGCCGTGTCCTCGCTGGGATACAAATACATTATCTTTTTGAATTTCCGGTAAGGTAGCAAAGCACATACATTCACATCCCCACCATGATAAGAAAATACATATTTCATTTATGTTTGTGGTGGGGTGGCCTAACAGTTGAGGCGTTAACTCATTGCTCAAAAGTCCTGGGTTCAATTCCCCACATGGTTCAATCTTTCTGTTTCTGGAAGCCCAGTCTGGTCCAGTGATCCAAGAGTCCCTAATCTGCTTTTCAGTTTTTCATCCCATGACCATGATACAAAACTGTCATCAAATCCTTCTTTCAAATATTGTGTTTTAATGGACTGGATGGAAACAGAATCTTTTTCTACCAATTCATTGCTTGTTTTAATGCATCTTTAATGCAATTTAGAGTATTACTCACCTGCAATCAAGTTAACAGGTTCACCTTCCTATTGTATGATTGTCAAACACTGAGTACACCTGTACTGTTGTGACAACACCCACAAGGTCTCGGTACCACCCAGCTCTTCGCCCCCCTTCCCTACCCTTCAACTCACCCTTGGTGATCTGATTAATTGAAATACTCAAGATTGGTGATCTGACTAAATGACCAAGCAATCGAAGATTGGTCACAGTCGAACACAAACAATTCTTGGAACACTTTATATAACAAGTTTTCTGGATAACAACTCTTTAACACAAACAATTCAGGAACACTTGTTTTCATCAACAATATTTTTCACAATGTTGGTTTTGTCTGTTACATTTCATAAGCACTCCAAGCGTTCCAGGTGATGATTGAATATATCTTAAAGACACCAAGAAATTTGTTCTTAACATACTAGTCATCCTTTAAAGATGTGAAATTTTGCACACAAAAAAGCAAAATAACTACATGTTTTTTTCCTTATTTTTTGTGCATTAACAAATTTCATAAATGACGCTAACCAATATTTTCGATGGTTGATCGGTGGTAATGAACCAGTCATCAGTTATGAGATTTTAACCAATTCCCAACAACTCAGTTACTAGATTTATGTGCAATTATAGTGTATAAGTGTGTAACTGTAGTGAACATAAGTGTAGTCATAATATATACAAGTGTAAATATAGTTATATGAGTGTAGCTTTTGGGTATATAAGTGTAATTATAGTGTATATAGTGAATGAAATCTTTGAATAAGCTCAAATTTTCTTCTTTGTTGTAAACATGCGAATATCTTGTAAATGTTATTATAAGATCTAACAACACAAAAAGTGTTTGGTATTTGCAAAACAGGAACTGCAGTAATGAAAAGAAGGTAGAACTATTTATCTGCATGTTTCCCTACAGAAAAATTTGCGATCAATATTCACTTAAAGATCATTTCATGTTTTACAGTGAGGCTTCACAAACCAAATAAGATACATGTTTATTATGTTTTTACTGAGCCAAACTAATAAGAACTACTGACCAAAAACCCTGATGAATGACTGTGCCCCTCCCCCTCTCCTTCCGCCCTAGTCCTAGCCCCACCCCCACTCCCTCCTCCCCCTCCCCTACCTGATTGTGACCTATTGAGTCACGGTAATCCCATTGCTCTCTGTTAGCATTGTCCCGAACTGACCCTATTGTCTTTGATCAATTATAGTAGCGTAGATCACTTCACACTGCTGTTTAATCCCTGCCCAGACAAAGCAGGGATAATCCACTGAGTCAGCTGGAGTAGGGTTAATCCCTGAGTAGACTTAATCCAGTTATGTGACCAGGTGTCCCCAGGCTTAGCCATTGAGGCTTTGGCCATTGCTCCTTCTCCAGGCATCTCACTGCTTCTATATAGCACGAGATCAATCCTGGCAACACCACTTCATTAGTCTTACAGTTTCATCAGAGTTTCATAAAACTGATTCTTGATTTACCAAATATCTGTGAAAGGTTTGAAACTGGTGTAGACGCTGTTGTAACAATTCCTGGATTTACTGTTAAAATTAGTCTGGGATTTTTCACATCTTGTTTGTGTGGATCCGATAGTATTGTGATTCCTGCCCCAGTAGTGGAGTTTGAAAGTTTGTCAGCAGCCCAGCAGTATGAAGTGGTTCCAGTTGACTTGTGGACTTCGTCCCGTTGCCTATCAGGATCTGACCCGTACATGCAGTGTAATGTTTATGATTACTGCTTTAGTCAGTTTTTTATATGATTGTATCAGGGTTTATAGAAATATATGAGCTTTGTGTACAGGTACGAATTAGCCATGTTGATGATTCTTATCATATTTGAATCGCAAGGGGATTCTTAAACAGAAACATTCTAATGTAATCACTTGCCTTTACAAGGGGTAGATGCCGTTGTTCATATCCAAGTAAGTCAAAATGTTATGAAAATGACTAGACCCTCAGACTTATCCATGCTTACTAGAATTGGGTGGTCAGACTCACTGACTTTGTTGACACATGTCAACTTACCCCAGTTTTGATCACTGGATTGTCTGGTCCAGACTCACAGACCACCGCCATATAGCTGGAATATTGCTGAGTGTGGCGTAAAACAAGAAAACCAGCTAAAACAAAACTATCCCTGTGTACTGGTTAAATGTATGCCTCACAAATATTTCCTCATGCTGTCAAAATCCTGCCTGGTTCAAGCTAGATATATCCGTGAGTATTATTGACAATGTATGAACATGCCACATGTTTCTGAACTAGAAGAGAAAGTTAATTGTGTCGTTGATGTTGCAGATGAAGCATGTGGAGTTGTTGCATGCGACACATGAAGATGCAGCAGCTGCACTCAAAGGCGCTGGCGATACTGTGGAAATAGTTGCTCAATATAAACCAGAAGGTACGTCAGCTTGTCAACAACACTTGACCTGGGTGGCTGGGTAGAGATAGGTTTCCTGTTTCCTACGCATGTCACAGAAGAGGATCTTGCTGCCATTTTACAAAACAACCTGAAGATGTTAACACCCATATCATAGACTGCTGACAGTCACAGCTCCACAACAGCACAAAGATCAGGGTGGGTGGGGTTAAGGAGCTGGCCATATCCAAAACTTTGACTTGTGTAAAGATACAGGTTCATATTACGTTGCGTGTTGCATGAGGCTACTACAGGGATGGGTAGCCTGATTCGCTCACTTGGTAAAAGTATGTCACAGTATCCTTTGCTCAGTTACATGGGTGGCAAACTCACAAATTGCTCCTACCACTTTCAGATATATATTTTATCTCTCCACAAATCTGATACAGAGATGCCATATTAGTAGTTTCAGTGGCCTCGATAAATGTCACCAACCTTAGAAGTTTAGCCTCTGACAAGCAGGCAATTGTATATCATTTGCCCTGCTCTCTCACCCTCTTAATGTGAATGTTTAAATAATTTTTCAAATCTCCTCAGTTCCCGTTCTTTGATCATGCAGTAAAGACCATGCTTAATGTGGGAGTTATTTTTTAGCAGTAGTGTATCAGCTTTCACTTAGGTAATGGCACAGTCATTGATATCTCTTCAAAGAAGGCTATAAATTATGCATATCTCTTGCAGTTAATTACAGATATTAGGATCTTGGCAGGGATAAATTGGAACCTTCCGTCTCTAACTGAATTAGATCAAAGGCAACAATAAAAGAAATTATGACATGTATCCACGTAAGGAAGGAAGGAGTGAGTCTGATATTGAATCTCTGGTCGTTCCTTCTTTGCCCAGTTACATAATGGTATTTGTCAGTGTAGGACCAACTGACGAAAGAGTGTGGTTCCACTATAAAAAGACATGTAAGGAAGAAGTGTATTATCATAAGCGGCGAATCTCAAGTCCTGGTTCCTGGTAGAGCTTTGTAATAGATAGATTGTCAGTGTAGGTCTCTGACGGGCATTTAGAAGTGATACACATAAGGAAGAGAGTTTTATGGATGTCCACGTCTTTATTGTAAGGAACACAACATTTTGGAGTATATCCTTACTCCTTCATCAGGTGAAATGGATGAAGGAGTAAGGATATACTCTGAAACGTTGTGTTCTTCATAACAATGAAGCTGACATCATAACAGTCTCTTCCTTAGCTTTGCATGTGTCTGATAGAGAGCGTTATTTCAGAATACAACCGATTTGAAGCGAAGATTCAAGACCTGCGAGAACAGATGATGAACACGAGCACTGGCAGCCTGAGGACCACACAGAAGAAGACATTATATGTCAGGTGGGTTGTAGGTGGCACATATGGTGGTCTGGTGCAACAGGTCTAGGTTCTAACCCAGTTTGATTTAAAAACATCAACAGATAGGTTGCAGATTGCATGGGGTGACTTTGTACCATGACCCTAGGGTCACAGCTAGTTTATTTGGAAGACATGTAAGTTGAGTGAGTGAGTTTTTTACGTCTCTTTTAGCAATATTCCAGCTATATCATGACGGGGGACACCAGAATGGGCTTTACACATTGTATCCATGTGGGGAAACAAACCTGGGTCTTTAGCGTGACAAGCGAACACTTTAACCACTAGGCTACCCCACATGTAAGGCCAACTGTAGGAGGCACAGTTCTGGGTTCAGTCCTTGTTTGTTGTATGTAGCCCTTTGTAGGGTCATAGTCAAATAATGACTAGAATATTTTTGTGACAGAAGACCATGTTGATGCTTAATGCTTTTCGTTGGTTTTCCTTGGACTATGGTGGAAAACGAAGATGAAACTCAGATGTAGATATGAAACAGTTGGGTAGCCCAGTGGTAAAAAACGTTCACTCACTCATCAAACATGTTATGTAAATTCAGGTAAATTTGATTTAAAATTACGAAAGGAACATTCTAAATTAATGGCCAGTTTGTGTCGTTGTAGTAATCAAGGGGAGATAACTTGCAACGTCTCATTGATGCTTTGAAAGGTATTTAAGAACCAGCCACATGGTAGGTGTGTTTAGTGTATATGATTGTCACTGTGTTAGTAATTCTGTTTTTGTTGTTTTCAGAGCATTATTTGACTATGACCCTACAAAGGACAGCGGCTTACCGAGCAAGGGTCTGGCATTCCGTTACGGCGACATTCTCCATGTCACCAACGCCAGCGACGATGAATGGTGGCAGGCAAGGCGGATCACCCCTGAGGGGGATGAAGAAGGGATGGGCATCATTCCCAGCAAACGCAGGTACGTGGCTGTGTACTCTCCTCAGGGAGCTGAGGTAATAATGCTTGTAACATTCCAGAATATGCTTGATAAATATAGGTTGTCTGTATGTCAAAAAACTGAATAGCATGTTATATTTACTTGATTATTCCAACCATTCTTTTAAGTGGATATATAAACTTGGAACTAAAATTCAAACTGAAGTTCAAAATTCTATTAAGAAAGTTTGAGATAATGAAATTCCAAGTATGTTGGGGTATTTCGAATTCATGTAATGTCGATAGAGAGTGATCCTATATTCCTTGTGACTATTTCAGAGTTGAAAGGAAAGAAAAGGCCAGGTTAAAAAATGTGAAGTTTACAGGCAAGAGTTCCAGCAACAATGATCGGATCAATGTAAGTATTTTCAATGCGTATACATCTCTGATAGGAAAATATTCACACCATGAACTAGTTGGCTGCATCAGCACACATTACTCAAGTAGGGCACCTGCTATAATCGGTGATACATCATAAATCCTTCACTTCCTTTTGTGTTCAGATTTTAAAGAACTTTCTAAATATATTTCCCTTCATAAAAATATGACATTGGAGGCTTTGTAACTAAAATTCTAATTTATTTATTAAATATTTATATATATTTTTTCAGCAATCAGCAGCAGCCAATGACAGGAAAAAGAAGAATTTCTCCTTCTCTAGAAAGTTTCCTTTCATGAAGAGCAAAGACCACAGTGGTTCGGAGGACATCAGCGCTGACGAACGTATGTACATTTTACCGAGGTCGCAGTAAAACCTGTTCTGATTGGCTGCTGACTCAGTTGTTCCGCTATTGTAGCAAAATGAAACTAGTCCAGCTGTCCAGCAATCTAACAATAACAACACTGTCTGAAAATATATTGTTTTATAAATATGCAGCAATATTATATATATATATTATATCTACCGTGATATTTAGATTTTTCTTGTAGTAATGACGAGACTGTCAGGTATGAAATGTAACATGTTATATTTGGTATTTTACTTTCTCAGTGTGATAAATGATTAATATATTAATTCAGGATTATACTTTTATCAGTGAAACTGGTGTTTATAGAAGGGCACTAACTGTTTGAAGTGTTCATGCTTTCCTGAATGTTATTCAATGTTGTTTGATTTGTCTTTTAATGCTTCCCAGAAGGTAATGTTTCCATCAGCTTTTGTAGCTTGCTACAGTTCTCTACATGTTGTTCAGCAAACATAAGAAAAGACAAATAATTAGAATGATTTTATTACCAAGGGACAGAAATGCGGGACAAATGTCATACAATCAAAGTTACTGGATTTGATTATTACAGCTGTACAGTTAAGGGGAGATAATCAACGTAGTCAGATTGAAGTGAGCAAATGATTACAATCGCCACTGATAATATTCACCATGTGAATATGCCAGACCAAAATTAGTTGACTTATTTCAACACTTAATATTTATTAATTCGTTAAATAATAATATAAAATTTTTTATGAAATAGGCTAGTTGGTAATTTGCTTGTCATTTGCTTGTGAGTACATTTGCCACATGGGTGCAGCACCCTTGCTGTGATGTGGCTGGCATATTGCTTGACAGTGGCAGAACTATTCCCACCCACTAAACCGAAAATTCTTGAATGCCAGTTACTGAAAGTGATTACTAATAGTGCTTCTTGTGTTTTGATCTCCAGAGGGTATGACAGCAGTGGAAGGTTACTATCATTTGTCTTTATTGCTCAGAGCTTCTGTCGTAGATGTAGTCCATGTTGTCCTAGAATATACCTGCTTTGTATATTGTGTCATAGGGCATTATGCAGGGCATTTCGCGACTCTCATCAGCAGAAATTAATGCAGGGTGCGGTGAAAACAGAATGAAGCAACTTCAGACTCAATCTTTTTAAATCAATTTTAAAAATTTGACCATGTTATAAAAAACTTTGACAATTTGTTTGGTTTGTTTTATACTTTTACTTCTTTATTTTTACAAAATATTTGAAGTAAGGGAAACTGTAATTGTACAGAGAGGCTTGATTTCACAAACTTTGTCAACTTTATCCTGATATATATGTTGAATTTCACATCAGACTGAAAGGCTATTCCTAAACAACAGTCAATGAAGTGTAAGCGTGGTGATCGCGATGCCCCTATCATGTTGCAGGAACTAAGAAAATCAAGTACCAGTACTAATTAACCTCTAAAAGCTATTAGATATTTTTGCATTTATTTTATTGATCCAACTAAAATTTGCATGAAATATAATGTAGTGAAGCAACTTGAGAAGAATGACAGCATTAATTGTTTTTTTAATAGTTAGATGTTAGATGTAGTTTGTGGTGAACAGTAGCTAGATATTTAAAAGAGGAAATAATAATTGACTTCTTTTTGAGTTTATGGTAAATATATTAAATGATATATATTAACTTGTAATACATGCTACTGATACTATGATAATACTGTGTAATAATACTGTACAATGTTGTGCTACCCCCGTCTGTCTGTACTAACAATTCCCATTTACTTGTTGCTCTCTGCTTCACAGAAGGTAACTTGTGTTTAATACCTCATTTATGAGGGTTTGCTTCTGTAGATGTAGCCATTTTGTTTTAGATAGTCGTGGTGCTGGTATATATTTAGTTTCAGATTTGAGGATATGACTTTGGAGATTTTTTTAAAACTAAATCCAAAACTCAATTCATTTCAGTTATAATATCTTCAACATCAGATTTGATAAACGCCAAAGTAATGTTGTTAAGAGCAGATGTTCATATCCTCAAAAGATTCCTGTGTATGCTTTTGCTGTGAAATCAAAAATAAGCTTCTTATTGAAGCAGCTCTAGCATTATTAATGGTTCAGGGAGGTTTGTCCAGCAAAGTGTTGTGGAAATGTTAACAGTGTGATCAAATAATTAATTTTTATTTGACATGTCTGTTTATTAAGGAGATGTGTTGCAATGGGACTTTTCATGTTGCCTTGTGTCCGGTACTGAATATTTAATTTAAATATGTTTAATTGTTTGAAGGGTGACAGTTTGCTTTGAATGTCAAAAAGAATTGACTTTTTTTGCCAATATGTTAATCTTTACTTTTCATGTTGTGCCATCCTAGTTAATCATCAATGCCACCCCGACTGAAGGATGGTGACATACATGGTGGTTGATACAGTGTCATATAGCATTAGTTGTGAGGAATATAGTATCAAATGTCACATATATATGTTATATGTCTTGTCTGCTTCTCTCCTATAAAATCATAAAAACAATAGTAATAACAATTATAATAAAAGTGAAAGTTACAAATTTATTATTCAGGAATAGTTCATTACATTAGGATAATAATGACTGGGTTTTTGAGAGAATCAGGGCAGAAAATGCTCTTCATGTTAAAAACATCCAGGTGTGTTTCCATCATGTTTTAAAGCATTAAAAGCCTTGTTTGCTGCCCCTGCCATGATACATTTGAAATATTAATGAGCATCATAAGGGGTTGACCATTAAATATTCTGGTTACATCTGTTTTTAGACCAATATGTTTTCTGAAACTGCTAGTGGTTTATGTGTTCGCTTATCTGGCTCAAGACATGGGTTTTATTCTCAAGATGGCGAAAACTTTAGTGAAACTGTTCAAAGATTTCCAGGAATCTTTCAAATTATTAGACAACACCAGAATATGAAATGGTTGTTCCCTAAGTAAAGGGTTGATCTCATCAGTTCACCTATCACACATGTGTTCCCTGATGCAGTGTGTTCTAGGTTGAAGTGGTACTTACACCGTAGATAGAGATCCTACGGCTTCCATTGCCTCCTATCATATTCCCCTGCAGACTGTCTCAAACATTGCATTTGTTATTTCAAAGTAAGCTTTCCATTTAGACTAACCACCATAACAACACATACATTTAAAAATAATGCCCATTATGTAGGTTGTATTTTGCCCATTGTGTAGGTTGTATTTTGCCCATTATGTAGGTTGTATTTTGCCCATTGTGTAGGTTGTATTTTGACCATTATGTAGGTTGTATTTTGCCCATTATGTAGGTTGTATTTTGCCCATTATGTAGGTTGTATTTTGCCCATTGTGTAGGTTGTATTTTGACCATTATGTAGGTTGTATTTTGCCCATTATGTAGGTTGTATTTTGCCCATTATGTAGGTTGTATTTTGCCCATTGTGTAGGTTGTATTTTGACCATTATGTAGGTTGTATTTTGACCATTATGTAGGTTGTATTTTGCCCATTGTGTAGGTTGTATTTTGACCATTATGTAGGTTGTATTTTGACCATTATGTAGGTTGTATTTTGCCCATTGTGTAGGTTGTATTTTGCCCATTATGTAGGTTGTATTTTGCCCATTATGTAGGTTGTATTTTGCCCATTGTGTAGGTTGTATTTTGACCATTATGTAGGTTGTATTTTGCCCATTATGTAGGTTGTATTTTGCCCATTATGTAGGTTGTATTTTGCCCATTGTGTAGGTTGTATTTTGCCCATTGTGTAGGTTGTATTTTGACCATTATGTAGGTTGTATTTTGCCCATTATGTAGGTTGTATTTTGCCCATTATGTAGGTTGTATTTTGAATATATGTAGATTTTATTCTGGAAAAAATCTGTCTGGCATCTTTTATTCTTGATTTATTAGCATTAAATTCATTTTAAGAGATTATTTGAACACTTACTTTGAAATATCACAAAGAGTTTTGAGACAGTCCCTTCCACCTATCATGTATGTTGTGTACTTCATGGCATGTTCGTTTTCCCCACAGGAAGCGTAGCAAGTGACAATGACACTAGTTATCGTAAGTAAAGCTTCAGCGACCTTCAACCAAGGGGGATAACTCTAACCCACTACCTTCATGTTGAAGATACTGCATCTCCTTGAATCTAATGTGGAATGCAGACTTGCATGGCTGCGCTAACCAGATTGTTCTATGATAATACACATTCTTGCTACAGCCTGCTTCACATCTCTTCTTCTTGAAAACCTGGTGTTGATGCAGTGAACTCTTCCACACTGTTTCAGCTCCATCTTTACAATACTGTTGGGAATCAGTGTGGATTTTCTGATAACTGTCAACTTTGTTATTCGCGCTGATCCCTAACAACTTTTGAGTAATATGTTATTTTTCAACTCACTTCCAAATGTTCATCTTTTTTTACCTTGTGTAATTTAAGATGGATTTACATTGTCTGCCTTTGCTAAACTTCCATCATTCCGAGTCAATCCTTGATAGAGCCATTGTCTGTCCACCTCTTTATAACTCCATCAATTCACTCCCTATATAGACCTGTGAAGGTCTGTGTTAGAATTGATCTTCAGTAACCCATGCTTGTCATAAGAGGCGACTAACGGGATCGGGTGGTCAGGCTCGCTGGCTTGATTGACACATGTCATCAGTTCCCAATTGCGCATATCGATGCTCATGCTGTTGATCACTGGATTGTCTGGTCCAGACTCGATTATTTACATACCGCTGCATATAGCTGGAATATTGCTGAGTGTGGCGTAAAACTAAACTCACTCATTCACTCCCTATATAACACATCAGTCAATCCACCCCTAGATGACCCTTCAGTCCACCGTGAACTAACACTCATTAGTCAATCCACCCCTATATTACCCATCAGTCTATCCAACCCCCATATAATATCCATCAGTCAATCCACCCCTTTATAACCACCATCAATCCACCCCAAAATAACACCCATCAGTCAATCCACCCCTAAAAGACAAATCAGTCAATCCACCCCCAGTCAGTCCACCCGTATAAAACCTCCATTAGTCAGGGAAGACCTCCATCCACCTGTTATCACGCTGGGGAAGACCTCCATCCACCTGTTATCATTCTGGGGAAGACCTCCATTAATCTGTTATCACGCTGAGGGAGACCTCCATACATCTGTTATCATGCTGGGGAAGACCTCCATTAATCTGTTATCATGCTGGGGAAGACCTCCATCCACCTGTTATCATGCTGGGGAAGACCTCCATTAATCTGTTATCACGCTAGGGGAGACCTCCATACATCTGTTATCATGCTGGGGAAGACCTCCATCCACCTGTTATCACGCTGAGGGAGACCTCCATACATCTGTTATCATGCTAGAGAAGACCTCCATCCACCTGTTATCATGCTGGGGAAGACCTCCATTAATCTGTTATCATGCTGGGGGAGACCTCCATCCACCTGTTATCATGCTGGGGAAGACCTCCATACATCTGTTATCATGCTGGGGGAGACCTCCATACATCTGTTATCACGCCATGTAGCAAGGATGTGTATTGTACAATGACCTGCTGAAGCTTTGCCTTGCAACACAGTAGCTAGTCTCACCACCATTCTATGAGAATTGTATGTGACAACCACTCCTTAATCCTTAACACTTCCTCTTTAACACAGCATATCTGCATGTCTTTAAACTCCATTCTCTTCCTATTCTTACTAACATATTGATGAGACAAGCTTTTGTTTCTTTCATTACATCATCTAACTTACCTATAACCTGTTCAAGATGTCATCAAATATGTTGGAAATAGTTTTTCAGTTTTCTTCTTTCAAGTTTCGAATCACCCTTCTATATTTCCAGTCTGCTGTAAGATGTGAAAACATCACCATGATGACCTCCTCTTGTTACATGTAACCCAGCTTCAGAATGTAACCATTTTCCATCTGCTAAAGAAATATATTTATGTTGCAATTCCTGCCATAAGTTTTACTTTTATCACTATTCTCATCTCATTGTATTCCTCATCATCGGGTGGCCCAGCGGCCCATTCCACAGCAAGATACTCAGGTTTGCCAGGATCTCTGGGTTCAAATCCCAAATTCACCCTATGGTAGCAAGTCAGGCCGTTTCATCGTTAACGTCAGTGTGGTCAGGAACAGACACCACATGACTGAAATAGAGTTATAGGTGTCTGGACCAGCCAGTGGTATGATTACATGTAGTCAGGTGGCCACGTACCAAGGTACAATCTGTCCCTCCTTTCCAAGCCAGTGCTGCTACTAATGATGATGATGATGATGTTGCAGGTGGAGACGAACCTATTCTGTCCTATGAAGCAGTGCTTCAGCAGGAGTGTAAGTAGAAACACCCAAACCATTCATTACAATCTGGAGGCTTGCAAATGATATTTTTTATTCTATTACCCTGATCTGCCCTGTCTTAGAATGGAAACTCATTCTAGCTATTGTGATGTATTGTTAAGGACATACAAATTTACTGTATGTGTTAGTTGGTTTGTAAGAAACTTAGAAAGTACTGGTATTCTTAATGTTCACCAACTTCTAAAATGCCAATTAAACAGTTGGTTGTTTCTTTTTTTCTTTTTTTTTGGGGGGGGGGTATTTTTGTTTGTTTTGGGTTTTTGGGGGAGTGTTGTTGTTTTTGGGGGGTGTTGTTTTTTCTTTCTTTCTTTTCTTTTTGCAAATCTCAACAGTAAAAAATATAAAACAAATATATAAAACTAAAATCTCTTAGCAGAATATATACATGCTGCACTCGGTGCAAAAATGCTAATTTGTCAATCTCAGCAGGTACAGGGTGGGCAGGATGTGGTAGCGGTATAACGTTCATGTCATTTCGGTGTTACTGTAATCTTTAGTTACCAATTTAACAAAAATGCTACTTCGTTAAATCTCAGCATGTACACTGACAGGGATACAAAGGTAACGATGGACACAGCATGGTTTTAGTAGAGGTGTCATCGTCCCTAAGATCTATAGTTACCACCAACAGGGGGAGGTAATCATGTGTGTGATATGATTGTTTCAGTGCGGTACACACGGCCTGTGATTATCCTGGGGCCTCTCAAGGACAGGATAAATGATGACCTCATCTCAGAATTCCCAGACAAATTCGGCAGCTGTGTGCCTCGTGAGTCTCAAAAACTGTTGAATATAAAAAATATAATCCAGAAGTGATAGCACCAAGAAAACTTCACCTTATTTTATTAAAATACATACTTCCTTAGAACATTTTATTCAGTGTGTCCTGTGGACTGAATCGTGCCTCTTGTTCCTTCAGACACAACGCTGGTTTTAGCTTAATTTGAGACTTTTATAAAGCTTGGCTGCAGGATGCCCGAGATTACCATTTTGTCAGTATGACGTGGGCCTCTTGTTCCTTCAACAGATGGAGAAAGACATTCAGAACCATCTATTTATAGAAGCTGGTGTTTATAACGACAACTTGTATGGAACAAGTGTGGCCTCAGTGAAAGAAGTTGCGGAAAATGTAAGTGTAGATCTTAGATGGAGGTCACAATGGCCAGACTGTTGTTTATTACAGCTAACAGTAAACATGTCAACTCCCTGTCACATCTAATGGTCATCTAATTCTGTGTTTGTTTGCCCAGCCACAGTGTTTACCATCTGTAACATCCTCTCTTATCATCCTGATGGAAAATATTTGTTTATTTCTCCCTGACTGCAAATATGTTTACCTCCCTTTGACAGTAAATGTTTTGTTATTTATTCACTAATAATACATATGCCCCAGGGACATTAGATGTTTAAACCTCTGTTTTGTAACAATGTTACCCACTATAAGTTAATACATTGTTCCATTAACCACTGAAAGTAAAATACATTGTTTCCTTACCCACTTACAGTAAATATATTTATCTCAGTGACACTTTGTGTATCACGCCTGTACATATGTGTGGCAGTAAATATATTTATCTCAGTGACACTTTGTGTATCATGCCTGTACATGTGTGTGACAGTAAATATGTTTATCTCAGTGACACTTTGTGTATCACGCCTGTACATGTGTGTGACAGTAAATATATTTATTTCAGTGACACTTTGTGTATCATGCCTGTACATGTGTGTGACAGTAAATATGTTTATCTCAGTAACACTTTGTGTATCACGCCTGTACATATGTGTGACAGTAAATATGTTTGTATGTTTCCAAGCAGAAGAAGCACTGCATCTTGGACGTGAGCGGCAACGCCATTAAGCGACTGCAGGTCGCAGGTCTCTACCCCATCGCCATCTTCATCAAACCCAAGTCCATCGACTCCATCATGTAAGGCCAAGAAAATAGGCTGACACTGTATACAAAATCTAGCGGTGTTGTCCTCATGGGTTCATTTTTAATCCAAACAACAGATACAGTTCATTATGTATTCAAAATGATTTCATATTGGCAGTGTTCACGAATAGCGTCTGACCCTCTGACAAATCCGGCAGATCCGCCAATGGTCCAATAGAAGTCTACAACCCGCCTGTCTGACTGTATATTTCACAATGACTTTGACTGAAGTTGTTATATGGGAAATGTGACACCTGTTTGCTGTTTATAAATCTTATGTTTGTTTATAATTTCAGTGCCAATTATAAGAAATGCTAAATCTGAAATGTGTGTTTATTCTATGGGTCCTGTGAATTTTCAATGGGTCAGACAGACATCTGAAACTTACAGGACCCAATGTCCTGTTCCTTTGAAACGCGATTCGTGAACACTGAATTGGCCGCACAAAAAGTTTCCAAATCAGATTCCAGGTCCGTGGTAATGTTCATGTAAAATTCAATGATAAAACTGGTCATGTCATCCCCGATCGATGCTCATGATGTCAATCACTGGACTGACTCAAGTATATAAAGATCAACCAAGGCTACCAAGATACATATATGTCAGTCACAGGATGGTCTGGCACAGACTTGATTACAGGCTGTTGTCATTATCAGAGTATGGTATGTACAAAGTATGAACATCATGTGAACGTGACATCTGATTGTGTCGACAGGGAGATGAACAAGAGAATCACAGATGAGCAGGCACGGAAGACCTACGAGCGGGCCTTGAAACTGGAGCAGGAGTTTGGGGAGTATTTCACAGGTAAGTGGAACAGAATCTGTTTGGGAGTATTGAAAGGAACAGCCGCAGTGTCTTTGGTTGTAACAATGCTACCAGTGAACTGACTGACTGAGTTTTGTTTTACGTCACTTTTAGCAATTTTCCAGCAATATCACGGCGGAGGACACCAGAAATGGGCTTAACACATCGTGCCCATGTGGGGAATCGAACCCGGGTCTTCAGCGTGACGAGCCAACGCTTTAACCACTAGGCTACCCCACCACCCCTCTACCAGTGAAGGTCCGGGTTAGAATTGGTCTTCAGCAACCCATGCTTGTCGTAAGAGGCGACTAACAGGATCGGGTGGTCAGACTCGCTGACTTAGTTGACACATGTCATCGTATCCCAATTGCGTATATCGATGCACATGCTATCAATCATTGGATTGTGTGGTCCAGACTCACTGTAACAATAGGTCTCTGGAACTGGATGAGACTTGTGGCAATAGATGCTGTGAGATTGCCTCATCCCCATCATGCAGAGTCGACAGAAGTTACAAATATTTGTGCCTTGTTATTGTAACTCACTTCAGACAAGAGAACAAGATATTTATCATCTATAAAGTGGTCCAAGTTTTATAATTGTTCAGCAGTACTAACCAATGTCTTCGTGAAGTTCAGCCACTACTTCAGTAGCAGAGAGTTTAGTGATGTTATTTGATTGTGACATCATGCTGACAAATGATGTCACAATGGTCTGAAAAGGATGTTGATACTATTTTATATTCCCCGGGTCACAATGGTCTGAAAAGGATGTTGATACTATTTTATATTCCCCGGGAAGCCAATTTTGTGTGATATGTTCAAATGTCCCATCGGGTAACAGATTTTTTAGATGTAAATCCAATGGGTAAGAATTGAGAAACTAGACAGTACCTTAAAACAACTTTCTTTGAAGGTATGTTTTAGGTAGGAAAACAGCAAGTGACCAATAGCAATGGGAGACTTCATATTTTTCGCTTTTGCTTACTAAGGGTTATCTGCCAATAACTATATGAGTAGAGAAAAATCTAATGGTATGGTATAATATATTTCAAGAACCCCAAATTTGAAATGTTTGTCTGTGAAGGCGTGTGCCCTTTCCAAACTGTTGGTTCTGATTTGAATATGTTGATTGCTAATTCTGTGATGTCTGTTTCAGCTGTTGTCCAGGGTGACACTGCAGATGAGATCTATGCAAAAGTGAAAGAGGTTATTCGAGACCAGTCAGGACCAACAATCTGGGTTCCAGCCAAAGACAAACTCTGAACTCTTACGTCTTAGAGGAAATAAACTCATAACTTCCGGTCATGTGATAGTCATGTGACAGTCATGTGACTCATAGATGATGCTCAGGCTGTACATTATCTCTTTGTCGGAGACTTTGTGATACTGTAGGAATGATGGGATACTGTTGCTACGACGACCGGACCTGTTGCTATGGTGATCTCAAGATTCTCCTCTGCAGATCTGATCGTGGCTTTCAACATTCACCATACGACCTTGACCTTGACTCAAGCTCTTCCGGATGCTGCTCACCCGTGTATGGTTGGAATCGGAAGATCAGCCGTACACTTTTGCTACTACTTTCAGTTCCCGAGTACTCAAGGCCTTTCCAGGTGTACACTTACAATAACTTGATGGTTGACAGGCCACGTCAGAAAGGTCAAGTGCTGGTAAAGAAGTAAAACTACATGCAGGCTCAAGAGGTGACCTGCAGACACCATGTTTGTGTACAAGTGTATTACTACTTATTTAAGACTTGATTTAGTTGCTATTGACTGTCGGAGCAAGGTATAGCAAGTATAAGCTACGAGCCCATCACATGATTACACGGCTGTGAAAGTATGGAGCACCGTTCTCGCCAAATTATTTATTGATGAGCTGTTTCATCAAACTGCAGCCTGCACAAACAATACGATAAAATTCCATCTTTCATTGCGAGATCATTTAGAAAATCAAAACAAGCTGTCATAAAATGCTGGTGTATCATGCATAGTATTTTTAAAGTTTAAACAAGGTATTGTATTGTTTTGATGTACAAACCCTGAAACTGGGCCTATACTGCTGTGATTAAGGGATGTATGTAAAAATTGTCAATAACCGTTGCCATGGTAAGATGTTACTTTTGTGTATCCATGGCAACCACAAGTATTTCCATTTTTGTGATGCTCTGCAACTATGGTAGGTTTTAATCAAATGAGTGAGTGAATGGTTATGACAGAACTGTGTAACTTATTCTGCAAGTTGGCTTTTAGTTTCTGAATAGAATAATGCCTTTTCCTGTTGCCATGGTAATCAGTGATTGTCGTATGACTGCAGTTTATCATAACTAGTTGTTGAGCTTCATGCAGTCGTTACTTTTAGTAGACTTATGACCGTTCACTATCATGGCACATTTTTCAGAAGCATTGTATACTTTACATTAAGTTTTACCAGCTCCTTACACAGTCTAGCTTTCCACCATTGTCGGCAGCCCTCTGGTGGCATTGTTTTAGCTTTGTTATTTAAACACTAGTTTAGCGAGCTGTTTTTTGACTGTATCATTTTGATATATATATATTGCAATTTAAAGAACAGCGTATGTAGGCCTGTATAGATGTATCATGACCTTCACCTTGACCTGACCCTCTTGAAAATCACTGTCAGTGATTGGCGGAAATAAACCACTATTTATTCTGGTTTGACTACCTCTAGTTTTCTGTGTTATTTCCTGCATGCTGCTGATAGTTGTTGTGGTGGCAAGGCACATGGTTGCTAAGCAACAACTCCAAGGATTTGCTAGTACGTACGCCAAGAGCTTAGAGGATGTAAAATGATCCATTATTTAAGAAACCATGTCTGTGAGGACAGAGGAAATTGTTGATGTGTTTGTCGGCTAATTAGTGCTTTAAGTTATGTACATTTGTACAAAACAATTCCAGCAACAAAGTACCTATTGTTATGTAAAGTAATGGTTTGTTAAATTGTGCTATGTCAAGTTTCAACCGGTTGAAATTGTCCAGCCAGGTATGTGTCCAGATTTATAAGCCATTGTGTGTGCAAGGGATCTTAGTTATAAGAAGTTTCCCATAGTGGAACCAGACAACATCCCTCACTGTGTTACGTTCAGTGTGATTAATCGTATGAGGATACTAAACCATACATGAAAGTTCAATGGCAATAGAACAGCTATGGTAGAAGGTATCGGAATAATTGGTCCACTCTGTCATTACATAGCATCTCAGAGTCCTACAAACTTTGTTCCATGTATAAGAAGCAAGTGTATGTACAGGATATCAGCCGAGGTCGACAGCCTACAGTGTCATGTATGTCCTCAGTTTTTAGTGGTATGTATGTAAGTTTTCAAGAGGGTCGTCTCCCTTACCTGTAGTCAGCTTGTACATGTAGCTTTTTTCGCTACTTGTCTATATATGTCTACCGTACATCTCTCTTTGTCACTGGGAGGATTTTGCAGGAAAAGTAATTTCTGTCTTGCCCTTGTCTTGTTTGTTCTGGGAGTTTTTTGTCACAAAGAACTTCTGGCTTGGTTTTGGTTTTGCACCTGAAAGTTTTTCTTTCGGTTCTAGAACCAGTCATTATCACCAACCAAGATTACTTTTTCAGCAGATCTCCCAAAGGCATGTTATCATATCATTGATATCAAAGACCACACATCGATATTTGTTGTGTCATACAGTCACCACTCATAGTTCACCTCCGCCTATACACAGTGTAGCTCTCCATTGTGACACAAGGGTTGGACAATACGCAGGTTATATCATGACTTTGTATCTTCACTACACGTATGATGCATATATATATGAGGAGAGTTGATGCTATATGTCCATGGCACTTCTTGGTTTGGCATTATTAAAGATGGCACTGGAATTAAATTTGTACATAAAAAAATACGAAAATCATATTTGTTGATCTTTATAGATCTCATCAAGGCAATAAGTTTTTTGTACATTACGAAAGGTACAATGATGCAGGATAGTAATGTCCTTGCAACTTTCACAATTGCTGCTACTCGAATAGTAAGGATAGTCATAAACGTCGACACAGAATTGCCCAACCCTTGTCCAATTATCAAGAATTACTGAAGTGATACAGGGAAAACCTATATGTTATCTATAGAGATGTGAGTGAGGCTATTTATATCATAAATAGCAAATTTATTTATGTGAAATTGTATTTTAATTGATGACAATAATAATAATCATGGCAAAAACATGCGACGAAACTTGTAAATATTTGAAATTATCGCTTGGGAATATATCCATGCTAAAATGACATTGCTTAAAAGGAGGAAAATGATCACTCACATTTGTTCTATAGATACTTCAGATTAGGGAGTTTACAAATGTTTATTTTAGATGAGAAAAATATTTGCTACTAATTACTTTTTCTGATTTTGGAAATATATTACAACATAATTTAGTTGTTCTCATAAAAAATATCAGTGCTTTAAGTAAATCACAAGATTTTACCGCTGTAAAAACTGGATAAGTTTATCAGTAGCGTTAGTGTGTCTTGTTAGGCAGAAGAAACTAAAATGTGCAATTATGGCATTGTTCTTCACATTTGGGGCGAGTTATTGTACAGAAATAGAGCCCTGATTTGTCGAAGGAAGCTAGCATGTTGAACACTGTAAGTCTTTAGGTAAGTAGTACAGCTCCGTCCTCTATAGGATTGAGGTATGTCGTGTGGAAGATGTTAGCTGTACAAATCTGTTAACAAGGAGTGTAGGCATTCAAGAAAATAAACTGCCGATACTACACATTTCACAACTTGTTGTGTTTTATCAATTTGTTGTGTAGAGGACCAGCTGTTCAGGATTCATGTGGGTGTGAGATGTTTGGTACAGACAATATTTCGTGCTCACTGCTCACTGCTTTGAAAGGGGTTCATGCAACATATCAAGATACATTATAAATGTATTTATGGATGATTGTTGATAATAAGCCTTAATGCGATCTTGATAACGTTAAATCATCAAGAACAATGATGGTGCCTCTTTCTATATCTACTAGGGCGTAAAGTCATCCCATAGATTACATCCTTACCTTGTCAGCTTGCTTACGGGGTTAACTTCTTTGGTCATGTGGATAAGTGTCCGACTTTAGATCAGAATGTCCGTGGTTTGAATCCCATCGCAGGACTCAGAAATTTCATGGCGGCTACATATTGTTTTAGCTTTTCTAGTTATTTTGTACTTTCACAGCTGGGGAAGGTGTATGTTTTTCATAGTTGTGTAACTTTGGGGTACACAGACCTATGGGTTGAGTGTCTGTATGGGGTCTCTTCATTCACTTCATGCCCTTGTGGGCGTTGGGGTAGTTAGTGGTTAAGGCGTTCGCTCGTCACGCCGAGGACCCGTGTTTGGTGTCCCCTGCCGCGGATATTGTTGGAATATTGCTAAAAGCGCGTAAAACCCTAAACTCACTCACTCACTCACTCTCATGCCCTTGTAAACATGCAGTATTGGAGTGAGTATGGTTTTATGACGCTTTTATAAATATTTCAGCAACATCACATGAGGGGCTACCAGAAATGGGCTTCACACATTGTATATATATGGGGAATCAAACCCGGGTCTTCAGCATGAGGGAACGCTTTAACCACTAGGCTACCCATCTCCCTGCAGGATAGGAAACCACTGAATTATATCACAGTTTTTTAAGGCTGAATATATAAGGTTATATACCTGTAACAGAAGAAAACATCTGAAGTAAATGTTTCTGTTCCATCTTTTCACCACTTGACCCTACTTTCAATATACACTTTGGATAATATTGGTTTTAAGCACTTCTTAATTATCCCCTGCGGGGGATATAGTATTAGGTTCCGTCCGTCTGTACGTACGTACAAATTGGAAAATCTTAAGAACCGTTGACTGGATTCTTTTCATATTTGGTACCTAGGTTCCCCACAGTAAAAGAAAGTTCCCAAGTCGGGTTTGGTGATAATATTCACCTTCATTTCAATGTCAGTCAATTTTGGTGACTTTAACGTCATTTTCAAGCATTCATAGACACTTTAAAGATTTCAGCATTTTAACCTGCATGTAAAGATGGTCAGCGAGATATCTCTAGAACCATTCCTGGATTTTCTTCATATTTGACACCAAGCTTCATCTGATGAAGGTGCAAGGCCCAGTCAATTTGGTGACCTTCACTTAATTTTCAATGTCACGGCGACACTTTGAAGATTTCAGCATCTTAAACTGCATGTTGAGATTGTCAGCGAGATGTCTCAAGAACAGTTCACTGGATTCTCTTCATAGACTTTGAAGACTTCCCTTGAATGTTTTTCAATAAGCAATTTTTTTATTACTAAATTTGCATATTTCAAACACTAAGACATTCATGTCAAGGTCAAAGTGAGTCTTGAAAATATTTCTGCTTTTGAACAACTACAGAGCAAGATATCAAGAGATGTTGACTGGTCATGTTTTGTTTACATTTAACTTCATTTTAAATTACGACCTTCACTTTCATTACTTTTTAAGTTTAATTTGATAATTTGCGGCGGGGGATTATGTCACCTTAGTGACAATGCTTGTTATTTTTGTGATACAAACCCATGTTTTTCCAAGTAATTCATTACAGTATCATTCAAAGATGAAGGATTTTATTTCATTTAACTGATGTCCAGGTGAACAGGTGAGGTGTCCGGGCTGCTGGAGTTATGTCCCTCCCAAGTTACGATGGCAACCTGAAATTATCGTCAGACTAGGAGTTTTTGTCTTTGAGTTGAGCACACACAAATAAATGAGTGTTAATACATGTAGACTGGTCTGATGTATGGCAGATGACTCTGAAGGGACATTTACGCCTATGATTTACGCCTTGCTTCCTCTTGTCCATTGCGGGGCGGTGGGGTAGCCTAATGGTTAAAGCGTTGGCTCGTCACGCCGAAGACCCGGGTTCGAATCCCCACATGGGTACAATGTGTGAAGCCCATTTCTGGTGTTCCCCGCCGTGATGTTGCTGGAATATTGTTAAAAGCGGCGTAAAACCAAACTCAGTCAGTCAGTCTTGTCCATTGCCATTACCAGTCAATGCCAGTTAGAGCTAGTGTCCTCCCTGGTCAGTCAACTTAGTGTTTACCTTATCATCTGATTACTTTTGTTCCCTCTTTTCACCCCTTGACCATACTTTCAATATAAACGTTGGATAATATTGGTTTTAAGCACTTATTAATTATTTTTGGGATACAAACCATTACGTTTTTCCAAGGAGGTCAAATATGAATTAAAAAGTTTCATTCAAAGATGAAGGATTTTATTTCATATAACTGACTTGCTACGGGCTGGTGGTTTATGTATGACGTCACTTCAAGACTACCATATTCTGTTGCATCTACTGAAATGACACCAAACTGCCACTAGTCGGACAAATCCTGGATAGAGACACACACATCTATTCTCGAAACGTTCGTAAGCCCTGCGAACTTCTTAAGCCAATTCTTAACAAATTGGCTACGGTCAAAGTTAAGAATTCTTAGGGCTACGAACGTTTCGAGAATAAGGGTCCAGCGTCAGGACCATACCGAGAGGCACAACATCCGGTAAGTTACCGTCAGGCGCGCCTAGCTTATACCTTGCAATGGTAAAGATACCATCTAAGGTTCAGGGCCCCGATTCACAAATCCTTCGTAACGTTACGACCTGTCGTAACTTTATAGTTCACGATAGGCTTATAAATGTCGTAGCGCTACGAACGCTTTATGGATCGGGACCCAGAAGACAAAACTTGGACACCACCTACTGTTCACATATTTTCCAGGTTTCAAGTGTAGAGTCGTGATGGTTGCTAAAGAGCCCCACAGCGTGCTCAGGCGTCTAGGAGGAGGTTGAAGCGCCCTTTGCGTTTCTAACGCCGTCAGTTTGCGGGTCATCGTCATTGTTAGTGGCAGTTTGAATGGTGTTTGCTCGCGTTCGAGATCATGCACTGCCCTTTGTGCAAATGCACACATTGCAGCAGGATAATGTCCGCCCACATGTTGCACGTGTCGAAACAGACTTTTCGATGCAGAACATGTTGGTTGTGCTGCCAATGCCGCGGCTACGTGTCCAGGCCGGGTGCCGTCGTACAAAGCGATCTTACCGCTAAGGCGACCGTAACTCCAATACCTCACATAGACTAAAGGTAATAAGCTCTATAGTTGTTCTGTACAACAGTACCCAGGCCTCTCCCCTACAAGTCCGGGGTGAGATGGAGCGACTATTGTAAACGACATGACCCAATGCTAGCTCTGTTGGGATCATCTTTGGTTGACATTTGCAACAACTGGAGGCACACTCAATACGACAAATGATTGAAAACCGCCAGGAAACCGTTCCGCCACGCGATCGGAGCGCTAGAGTGACCGTAACTCCCAAGTCCGGCGTAGCGAAACGGGGTTCAGGCTATTTGGTGACTCATGGAATGACCGATATACTCCTACATAACAATGTACGACAAGGTTAAAACATAGGACGTGCGACACATTAGCTAGGTGTGCCTGAATGAATGTTTTACAGGGTAATCGAGTGTTGCGGTACTCATGTACACGCATATATAGGAAATATCAAATTAACATTTCTACAAATTTTCTCAAAAATATTATTTAATTTCACAGTTGAAATATTGGTACTGCAATTGGCTGTGTTCTGAGTGGAGTCGCTTGGCCGGGTGGAACTGTTTAACGTGGGTTCGAATCCGAGAATCTCACATATTTGGTTCTTCGTTCTCTCCGTCATATATTTCCGTGCCTGCGGGTTTCACAGGCAAACATGTTTTACAGCCCGAGTTTCGCCCCCTAGCCTAACCAGGATTCGCTGATCAGAATTAATCTATCGTGTAGACTTGTCGACACCACCACCTTCTTCACACAAATGTACATGTTCAGGTTTACAATACATGGTCCACAACACCACAACATGCACCAACATCTCTCTCTCTCTCTCTCTCTCTGTCTCTCTCTCTCTCTCTCTCTCAATTGTGCAGATCGATGCTCATGCTGTTGATCACTGGACTATAATATCTGGTCCAAACTCGATTATTTACAGACCGCCGCCATATAACTGGAATATTGCTGAGTGCGGCGTAAAACTAAACTCACTCATGAGACGACCATGTTCATATTTAGGCATAACATTTACACCACGTTTTAATCAAGCATAGTTGGGTTTTTTTCCCAGATGTGAGGTTTGTTGAATCCTCTCGATGTCCCCTGCATGAACCAGTACGAAAGCGGCGTAAAACTATACTCACCCAATAACGTCCGCTATTCAGCTGTTCTTATTGAGACTATACTTACCTGTACGTTAACAAACAACTCCTTCATACTGGGAACGGTATTTCAATCACACATTCCTGGCAAATGTCCCCTGATGACAATACAAGCAGCAAAGCAATTATGCTTCTTGACAAGCATGAGTTGGTTGGCACGTTGATACAAGGGCACCTTGCCCGATCCGGGCTACACTGCACGCGTCCATAAGAACGCCTATATTGCACAAGAAGTGGAATCGGGTCAAACCGGACATTGGCCTATCAGGATACCTGTCAAAATCAGATATGTTAATTTATCAGTGTAACATTCAGGGTGTGCTCTATAGTGTAGTGGATAGAGTGTCTGTCCGGGCAAGCAAGGTCGGTGGTCGGTTGACCAATTAGACATTAGTACTCGCTATCCTGTACGGTTTAATAGCTAAAATACAACAATATTTTACAGTTCTTTAAAATGTTTTACGGAAATGGCGAGATGAGGTGAAACTGGGTTTAACATGTTGCACG